TTGGCTCTGCAATTTCTTTCCTAGAAATTACCTTGCAGATTGCTCATGTGCACAAAGATGGGGATATAAACTGCAACCCTCCTAGTTCTATTAAAAGACTAGAAACAACGTAAACTTTTTTTTTTTTTTGGTCAGTCCATGAAGAAATGTTTATGATGGGCTGGGAAGGTGGCTGAGTGGTAGAGTGCTCGCCTTGCATGCATGAGGCCCTGGGTTCAATTTCTCAGCACTACATAAGCAGTAAAGGCCGGGAGTGGTGCTGTGGCTCAAGTGGTAGAGCACTAGCCTTGAGCTGAAGAGCTGAGGGACAGCACCCAGGCCCTGAGTTCAAGCCCCAGGACCAACAAATTAAGTTAAATTAAAAAAATCTAGCCCCCTTACAATAAGGAAAATATGTCTAAGGGACAGAGACAAGTCAGAACTGGAAGAATTTGAGCATCATAAGGAAATAATAGATTATAACTTGCAGTATCAAATAAATATTCAGGAAACTAGACTAATATAAATGACTGAATAAGTAAGTGGGTGCAGATAAATCTTAATTACATATGCAAATACTTTGCCTTCAAAAAGGGGATTAGTAGACTTTCTTTCAAAGAGTGCAAAGAGGGAAGGAGTGGGAGTAACTTTGGGTCCCTGAGTTCAAGCTGTGGTTCTGGCCGAAGAAAGCAAGAAAGCAAGGAAGGAAGGAAGGAAGGAAGGAAGGGAGAGAGAAAGAGAGAGAAAGGAAGGGAGGAAGGAAGGAAGGAAGGAGAGGAAGGAAGGGAGGAAGGAAGGAAGGAAGGGAGAGAGAGAGAGAGAGGAAGGAAGGAAGGCAGGAAAGGAAGGGAGGAAGGAAGGAAGGAATGAGAGAAAGAGAGAAAGGTTTGATATGGATAGGCTTGACTTAACTATTACAGCATGTGTATAAATACTGCAATGCTCTATTAATGTGTACAATGCTGGGGGTGGGGGCTGGGACAGAGTTTGGTGGTAATATGAATGCATAGCATGCACAAGTACCCTGAGTTCCATACCTGGCGGAAAACATTTTAAAAGTCCACAAAAAAAAAAAAAAAAAAAAACACCCCAGCAACTGCCAGGCACCAGTGGCTCACACATGTAATCCTAGCTACTCAGGAAGATGAGATCTGAGGATCATGGTTCAAAGCCAGTCCAGGGGCTGGGAAGGTGGCTCAGTGGTAGTGTTTGCCTTGCATGCATGAGGCCCTGAGTTTGATTCCTCAGCACCACATAAGCAGAAAAAACCAGAAGTGGTGCTATGGCTCAAGTGGTAGCGTAGTCTTGAGCTGAAGAGCTGAGGGACAGTGCTCAGGCCCAGAGTTCAGGTCCCACAACTGACAAGAAAAAAAAAAAAGCCAGCAAGCCAGGCACAGGTGACTCATACCTGTAATCCTAGCTACTCAGGAGGCTGAGATCTGAGGATCACAGTTCAAAGCCAGCCCGGGCAGGAAAGTCCATGAGTTTTATCTCCAATAAACCACCAGAAAACCAGAAGTAGCACTGTGGCTGAAGTGGTAGAGTGCTAGCCTTGAGCAGAAGAGCTGAGCTACAGCGGCCGGGCCTGGAGTTCAAGCTCCACTACCAACAAAAACAAAAAACACCAAAAAAACCCAGCAACACCCCCATAAACCCACAAAGATCATCAAAAACAAGGATAGGATGGCATGCAAGAGGAGTTAACATTGTATTGATTATCCAATTGAACCAAATTGTACCATGTCATGTTACTTCTCTGAACTTCCATGTTTCATCTTGGTTTTTTTTTTTTTTTTGGTTCGGTCCTGGGGCCTGAACTCTGGGCCTGGGCGCTGTCCCTCAGCTCTTCAGCCCAAGGCTAGCACTCTACCACTTGAGCCACAGTGCCACTTCCGGCTTTTTTCTTATGTGGTGCTGAGGAATCGAACCCAGGGCCTCAGGCATGCAAGGCAAGCGCTCTACCACTGAGCCACCTTCCCAGCCTTTTTTTTTTTTTTTTTTTAAACTTCACTGAAGATTGAACCTAGCTAGTGCTTAATGCTAGGCAACTGCTCTGCCACTTGAGCTACCTCCCTGTTTCATTCTTCCTGAAAACAGGGAAATTACTCCCTTTTCTTTCTTTTTTTTTCTGGGGTCTAGTCGTGGGGCCTGAACTCTGGGCCTGGGCGCTGACCGTCAGCTCTTCAGCTCAAGGCTAGCGCTCTACCACTAGAGCCACAGCACCACTTCCAGCTTTTTTCTTTTTGCTTGTGTGGTGCTGAGGAATCAAACCCAGGGCCTCATGCATGCAAGGCAAGCGCTCTACCACTGAACCACCTTCCCAGGCCTTTTTTCTTTTTCTTTATGGTGCTGGGGATACAGGCCCTTGCATGTGATAAACAAGTACTCCATTATTTCTAATTATTTACAATATAATAACTTTCAGATGATCAGATGTTCACTGTGTTGTAAGTTCTGCGCTCAGCACATCCTGTGGAGGTATCACAGGGACCTGTGGATCAGTATTGTCATTTCCCTTGTTTTCTCACCATAGAAATTACCTACACCTGCACATAAATCATAGAGCCTAAGTCAAGCCCAGGGTCAGTTGATGTCAGTCTATCTGTCTGTGCTCTTTCCCAACTCTAGCTCCCTGTTCCACCCTATACCCTCAAATAGATTCTGCCCACTTCACAGCCAATTGTGAAAGATGTGCTTCCTACACAAACTGCATGTAGGTCAACATTCTCCTTCATCACATCTCTCTAAATCTGATTCTAAAAAGAGTTTCTGATCAGAAACACATCAGCAGTAGAAATGACATTGTTTTACTTACTGACTCACAAGATTTATATAGTAATGCTAAGAAATGACTATTAAAACTCCATTTTAAGACAAGCATGGTAGTTCATGCCTGTAAATCCCAGCACTTGAGAGTCTGAAGCAGGATTTGGAGATGAAGACAAGTCTGGGCCACACAGCATGACTGTCACAAAAACAAACAAAAACACCCAACCATACAACAAAACATAGCTACTATGTGAACTTGTTCAGAGTGAAGAAATCCATTTCCTAATACCAGCCTCTTTATGGTGAAAGATTTTTGCTTAGCTTTCTCCTAAATGCTAAAAGTCTTTTCTGGACTGTCATTTTAACTCTGCCCGAGGATTTGCCCCAAGCTTGGATCACAGCAGAGAGGAATCAATAGGGCATAGTGGTTAGGACAAGAAAGGCAGCCCTTCAACATTCTTACCCTGTAGCCTCTTCAGGCAGCATATTTGCTGATCTCTCACAGTAGAATTTAAGTGCCAGAAAGGCTGGGATTTGTTTACCCCTGTGTCTCCTGCCACCAGTTCAGTGCCTGGCATGATGGATTAAATCAATAGTGGTTGAAAGAATAAAAGGCAGTTCAAGCAGGGAAAACGGAGTTTCTGATTTGGGTGCTGAAGACACAGGCAGAAACATAAGTGATCAAAAGACCCAATCTTAGGTATGAGGAGAGACCTGGGAAGTCTGGTTATGCAATTATAGAGTCTTTTACTTCAGTAGGCATAGGGGTGCCCACCTCTTACCCCAGCACTTACTTGGGAGATTAAGGAGGGAAAATGGAAGGTTCAACACCATAACAAGACTCCAAAAAAAATTTTTTTAAAGCAATAATGCTCAGTGCAAAATGAAGGTTGCAATTGGTTTCACAGGCACAATCCTACTTTCCAAAAATATTTTAATCATGGCAGACACTGGTGGCTTGTGTCTATAATCCCAGTTGTTCAAGAGGTTGAGATCTGAGAATCAGTTTAGAGCCAACCTGGTCAGACAAATCTGTCTCTTACCTCTCCAATGAACAAGCATGGAAGTGTGGCTCAAGTGGTACAGTGCCAGCTAGGATTGAAAAAGGTGAACAAGTGCTTCAGGGCTCTCTGAGTTCAAACCCCGGTACCAGCAAAACTACAACCAAAAACAACTTAGTCATATAGAAGAGGAATTTACCCTTGATATAATTAACAGTGGTTACCTCTTGAGAGCTGGGATTATAGGACATTTTTTCTTTGTACTGTTTTTTCTGTTCATCCTGGGGCTTGAACTAGAGGCCTAGGCGATATCCTGAGCTCTTTAGCTCAAGGCTGGCACTCTACCAGTTGAACCATAGTGCCACTTCCAGTTTTCTGGTGGTTAATTGGAGATAAGAGCCTCACGGACTTTCCTGCCTGGGCTGGCTTTGAACCATGATCCCCAAATCTCAGCCTCCTGGGTAGCTAGGATTGCAGGCATGAGCCACTGGGCGCCTGACCCAGGCTAGCTTTGAACCATGATCCTCAGATCTCAGTCTCCTGAGTAGACACCAGCACCTAGCTCTTTGTACTAGACTATTAGTGTTTGTATTGCTTTAGAATGACCACGTAGGTGGTGGGAATGTGGTAGAGTGCTTAGTGGTAGTGTGTTTGCTTGGCACGCATCAAGCCCTGGGTTTGATTCCTCAATACCACATAAACAGGAAAAGCCGGAAGTGGCGCTGTGGCTCTAGTGATAGAGTGCCAGCCTTGAGCAAAAAAGCAAAAGCAACTCAGGGATAGTGCCCAGGCCCTGAGTTCAAGTCCCAGAACTGACAAATAAGAAAGAAAATAGAATGACTGTGTAGTACTTGGCAAATACAATTAGTGACCATTACAGATCTTATCTAATGTAACTATACATGTGTATACAGGCAAACACACAGGAAGAAATATGATGAACACACACCAAATACTCAACAGTGGCAACCTCTTGAGAAGGGAATGGGCTGGGGAAGAATGGTAAAAGGGGAAATTTGATGTTTTACATTCAATGTCTTTCCAGATGGCTTCATTCTTATATATGTATTCCTACATTGTAGAGAACCAACACCTAATACCAATCCATGCACCCAGAAGCAGAACTCCTCCAATGCAGGACAGAAGGAAAACATAGGACGTGGCCATATTGTCCCCATCCCTCCCTTACAGCGAGACCCAATCCAACCCACACCAGGCGACCCATACAGACCCAAAGAGGAGCCAGGGGGCCTCATTGTAACACTCATTTTTATATAAATATCCGCAAGTCATGTTACAGAATAAGCCCCACCGGGGGAAAAAAGTCAACGTTATGGTTTGTTAAACTGAGCCCTGCCTTCTAGGTTGGGCCCCAGCCTGGAGGCGTCTGCTGCTTTGGGAAGGCTGGGGCTGTTGCCGTGAGGCTGCTGAAGAAGCTGCCTGTATTGCCCACCCCAGGGCCAACCCCCTTCTTTGGTGTGTGGTACATGGTGACCTTTTTTGCCCCCTACCCCCCAGCCTAGGACAGGGTTTTGTGGAGCAGGGCCCAGGAGTCCTGGGGGCACTTGGAAATGGGGTAGGGGTGGGGACTGAGCCATTAAGAGGTGGCGTCTGAGGCTTGAAGGTTGAGCTTTTTAGAGCTGGGGACAAAGTTAACAGAACTCGTTGAGGAGAACCTGGGCTGACAATGTGTTTCCCTCTAGCTTAGGTCCCTAGGGTCCTTCCCCCTACTTGGTCTGCCTCTGGCTGGACCCCATGTATCCCCAGGGACAAGCCCTGGGGCTACTACTTGTCCCCTCCCAGCTTTTCCCCTGTGACCCCCCCTCCCCCCACAGAGAGGCCAGAGGCTAGGAACACAGCACCAGTCTGAGGATTTAATTAACCAGGAAGGGGTCATTGGGAGGGGCACCCCTGTAAAAATGTACAAAAGGTCTGGGGGCTATATAGAAGGGGTGATAAATATGTACATGGAACCCCCTTTCCTTTAGCCCCCTCATCCTCCAGCCCTAGAAGGGCACAAGGACTTGGATGGTAGAAGAGGAGGGAGCACTTTGGCCTCTGGCTGAGTGAGCCCTTGGGGAGGCAGGCCAAGGGCCTAGAGGACCTCAGAGGGGATGATGGTGCACCTCAGGAGGTCGTCTGCTATGACCTCTGAAATGACCCCTCTTCTCATGTACACATACACCTCTCTCCAGAGGCTTGTGACTTCTACCCTCCCAGTGTCCCCACGGTCCATAGGATACTTGACCTTGTGGGGGTTGGAGTTCTACTCCCAGGCCCATGACCTCAGAGATGGCTGAGAGGGTCATGATCTTTGCCTTCCAGCACTGGCTCAAAAACCTCAGGCCCAGGGCCTTATCAAAAGGAAAAGGGGAATGGAGCTTTGCTGGTCCCTCCCCTCCCCTCACCTGTCAGCCCGGGCTGGGCCAGGGGCCCTAGGTGGAGAGCTGGGCCGGGGGGCGGGCACAAGTGGAGGTGGTGCCCCCAAGAGGGCTCCTGGTGGGGTCTTGCTGAGAAGGTGAGGGGTTCCTGGGGCCGCGGCGGGTGGCGGTGGAGGAGCCAAGCGGCTGTATAGCAGTGGATGAGCAGGCTCTAGACCATAGAGGCGGGCAGCAGCCACAGCCCCAGGTCCAGTCAGCTCCTCACCGGCCTCATAGAAGCGAGGTGGCCTGGCCAGGCGTGGGGGCCCTGCCAACCAGGCTGGCTCCAGGAAGCCTGCACAGCGCTCTGGTGGACTAGGGCCCAGAAAGGGGGGTGGCCTGGGCCTCTCGAACAGCAGGTGAAGGCCTTGAGGCCCCGTGGCAGCGGCGGCAGCGGCGGCGGCAGCAGCAGCGGCAGCGGCAGCAGCAGCCTCTTCTTTCCGCTCTTCCTTTACTCGCACAGACTCCTTGGCTGGCCGTGCCCCTTCCTCACCAGCCCGAGTCTTAGGAGTAGCAGGAGAAACTCGGAGCTGGGGCCTTGAGAAAGGGAGGTCTCTAAGGCAGAGATAAGGAAATAATGAAGGTGTTCCAGAAGACTGAAGGATGGCGAGAGCAGCATGTTGGCAGGGCAGGGAGACATACCTATCCTTCTCCTCCTTGGTGATAGAAGGCTCTCTGCGCTCCACAGGCCGCTCCTTGTCTGAGCCTGGTGTCCGGGCGGCCTCAGGGGGCCGGACCCAGGCAGGAAACGCCAGAGGACTGCGGTGCAGGCGGCCCCACGGGTCTGGGGGAGAGGCGAAGGTTGGTGGGGCCCCTGGACTTTCTTTCTGGGCAAAGACGGCGCCGGAGTCTAGGCAGATAGTGAAATAGCAAGCCATAGGGGCCAGGAGTGAGAAGCTCCAGATCCTGTGTGATAAGTGACAATCCCCCGCCCCCCTCCAGAACCCTCTGCACACCCCCACCCAGCACTCACTGAATGTGGGGCTGCCCAGGCCTCCAAAGGCCCCGTTGGAGAGGGCAGCCAAGGAGGCGAAGCTTGTGGGACGCCCAAAAGGATCTATTGGGGGGGGGGGGGGGGAAAGGAGAGATGTCAGAGCATGGGCACAGAACTGTGAGCAGGAGAAAAGAAATGGGGGGAAGAAGCAAATCAGTAAGCAGGCCAGGAGTCCTAAACATTTCCTTGGACCAGGCAAGGCACTGTCATTTGATATGTACCATGTTGTTTATTAGCCCAGTGTCCCAAGCACCAGGATACAGGAGTATTCCCACTTTCAAATGATAAAATAGGCTCAGAGAGGTGAAATGACTTGTCAAAGGTCATCAAACTGTGAGGTGTACTCACAAACCAGGGCCGTTCTGATATTAGAGATCAAGCTCTTATTCCCATTCCCTCACATCAGCCACCTGGACCCATTTAGCAGACCTTGACACTAGCAAGCTACTGGCCTGAAGATCTCAGCTGTCTTTTCTCCCATGTAGAGCCCTTCCCAGATTCACCCTCACTTCATGAATGTGTCACAGCTGGTAGAACAACTAGCCCATGGGAACTGCAGCCAGAAATGCTTCCATCCAAGCTCAACTCCTTCTTGTCCACCCATAGCGAGCTTAAATCTTGCCCCAAGAAACCTGCCAAGTTCCCCTGAGCCTGCACAGCTAGCTACCCCTTCCCCCTTTCCTCTCCCAGGTAGCATGCTACTCCTCTATTCCTGGCTATTTCAGAGACAGAGTGTGCTATGGCAGAAAGAGGGAGTCACTGCTCTTTGCCACTTATTTATAGCTAAGGAACTCACAGCTCAGAACAGGTCGAGTAATTTGCCCAAGGCCACAAAGCAAATGGAACCAGAATCCACCCCATTCTAGCTGCTTCTCGGGTCTGATGTCCATCTTGCAGCTCCAGAACATCTGGGAAGTTGGGGACAAGGCCTGGGATGCCCAACATGCCCTTGGCTCTTACCAATGTGGGTGCTGGGGCTCAGGAAGGGTCCGTGGGCCCCGGGAGCTGCCGTGAAAGGGTTGGTTGCAGCGTGGACGGCACCTGGGCAGAGAGGTGGGAAACTCATGAGGCTGAGTTGGCGCAAGGTGGACCCTGGGCCATAGGTGGGGAATCTCAGACCCTGGGAGGGCTGGCCAGACTCACCAGTCGCAGTGAAGAGGGAGGCCGGGTGGGAGAGTTCCTGCCCAGGGGGCAGGACCCCATAGGGCCCCGGAAGGCAGGGCAGGAGGTCGTTCCGAAAGTCAAGCTTGTGGGAGTCACCCTGTGTGAGACACAGGGAGAGGGCAAATAGGTGAGTGAAGAGCCAGGGCCAGTACTGTTGCGATTTTTTTTCTCTGTCTCTTTCTTACGAAGTCCCTACTGTCGTTTTCCCACCATGAGCTCCCTTCCAAGGGCTGGCTCACACCGAGAAGGAGCTTAGCTGCTATCCTCTTCCTCTACTTCTACCTCTCTGACCATCATCCCAGAATTAACCAAAGGACACACTGTGCAGCACTGATGAGACAGGAGAGAATGTTTCTGGCCAAGATTCTACTGAGTTCCATTGAATGCAGCTGCCCCAGAGCTCAGGCCATCCTTGACTCTCAGACCCACTCTCCCCAGCCCTCCGGCCCCAGTACCTTCATCTTTTCCTGGTGTCTCAGGATCATGTAAGCCACGCGCACGTGCATGGCACACCACTTCCCTGGTTTCTGTCGCCCCAGATGGATGACCAAAGGGAAAGGGAAGCAAAGAACATTCACTCATCACCCACTCTAGGCCTGGCCGTGAGCCCAGCCTTGCCACACAACGTCCCTACTCACCATTCCTACAACCAAGAGATGACCAGGTTCATTTTAAAGTATAGGAAACTGAGGCTCAGAGAGATAAAACTGTCTTGCCCAAGGTCCCATGGCCGGTTATATCTGAGCCGAGGTCTGTGACTTCAAAGACCTTCCCTTTCTATTGTGTCACATCATTTGGCTTCTTCCGTGTCTTGGACCTTTTCATCTTTCCCAAGTAGGAACCCTCCCACCCTTTAGTCAGAATGCCCTATAACACCAGCCCCCAGCCTCATGCAGCCTGAGGTCCTCAACAAACTCACCCTCAAAGGTGGCCGGAAATGGTCGGGGATCTGGGGATGGCAAAGGAAAGATTGAAGGCAATTCACACGTGTTCACTAACCTTGGTGCTTCATATCCATAGCATCTATTTGCCCCTAGATGCCTCCCTGAGTCTCTGACTCCCTTCAACATTTCTGGTGTCAAAATCCCCTTCTCTGTCCTCTCTCTCTCCCACTCCAGCCATCTCTCCTCCAACACCTCCCCAGGAAAGTGCCCTGCTCGGAGGGTTGAGGAGTTGCTACAGGCAGGCAGGATACTTCTTTCAATGAGCAGTATTATATATTGGAAGCATCAATTTAAGTAAGTTATCTTAAAAAAAAAACATAAGACAGACAAACAAACAAAAAAAAACACCTTTCAAGGAAGCTGGAAAACGCTGGTCTAGTCTAGCCCTTAGGAAACACATGCAGTACTCATCCATGTTCTTACAGCCTTCAAGTCTAAGGCTGCTACATGTGCCAAAGAGAAAAGCAAATCTCTGGCTCCTCAACCACTTCTCAAAGAGAAAGCTTTGTGGACAGGGCTTCCTGCTATGTCATTTGGGGAACAAAAAATTAAATTTGACCTAATTCAAGAAGCTCCACAAAATCTACTGTCCTTGGGCTGGGGGATGTAACAGTGGTGGAATGTACGCTAGGAATGGTGAGGCCCTGAGTTTGATCCCCAGTAGCACCAAAAATAAAACCATTTCCCTAATATTACCTTATTCCTGGGCCCACATAATAAGCCTCCTATTTCTCATGCCTGGGAAATCCTGTTATTTATAGAAATCCTCTCTCTGTAGACACCTAGGGATACCTCTGATTGTGTATTAAAGGGAGGAGTCAATGGTTAACTCTCCTACTTTCCCCTCAACATACCTTTTAGCTTCCCCAGGACCTGCCCTGACCCCCTCACCTGTGTCCCCTTCTGGGGGAGCCCGCTTGGCACTGGCCCCAGTCGTGGTGGCAGCTCAGGGTTCGTGCTCTGGGAAAGGGGAGTGGAGGAATTAGACAGGAGAGCTGGCACCAAGCATTAAAAAAGGAGGTCTAGAACCAAGCTGGGGGGTGGGACAGAGAGGGAACATGGTTATACAAAAACTTGGGTCCAGGAACTGGAGCTGTGCCTCAAGTATTAGAGTGCTAACCTTGAGCAAAAAGGCTCAGGGCCAGTGTCTAGGCCCCGAGTTCAGGCCCCAGGACTAGCACAAGTCAAAGAATCTTATGTTTGGGACACAGAAACAGCACAATGGAAAAAAAAATTAAAAAAAAACAAACTTGGATCCAGAAAGGAGGGCAAGAAGCTAGACAGGTTTAGAGGAATGGGAACAAAAGCATGGAGATCCAGGATGCTTGAGTCTATAAGGGGTGGGAGGCAGTGGTATGGCTGGATTGGAGGCTCACCTTGGGCTGGAAGGCCCCCTGCAGGGAGCCAAAGGAGACAGCTGGCGGGAGGCCCGGAGGGAGCCCGGGCACTGCGGGAGGAAAGGCCATGTACGGCTGTGGAGAGAAGGGGACTAGTCCAAGCAGGGGGTGGAGGTATAGTCCGGATCTGGTCTACCCATCAGTCAGTCCTCGGGCCTCCACCCTAACCCTCCTACCTCCCCACATCCCCTTGGAGCTCTCCCAGGCTTAAGGCTCTGGCTCCTGGAGCTAAAGATTGGACCCCAACAGTCAGGGCCACATGCATGCATGGACACATCCATATCCATACATCACACACACTCACACACACTCACATTATGTCGGAAAAGGCCTTCCATCTTTCCTGGGTATTTCTCAAACTAGGGAAGAGAAGGGAAGAGTAAGCTGCTGGCGAGGGACCCAGGGCCTTGACCTGAAGCCACGCCCTCCCCCAGGCCTCTGAGCCTCATCACCAGCCCAATGAGGAGCTCACCATGTGGGGGCCATGGGGTGGCAGCAGGCCCGGGGGATAAGGGGTGAAGTGCTGGTGGGTGTGCTGGTGGGTGTGCTGGTGCTGGTGGTTGTGCTGGTGGAACTGGAAGGCCAGGGGCCGGGCTGAGCCCCCTGCTCCCACCACCTCAGGGCCACCCTGGGCATTCAGGTAGCGAGAGTTCAGGTCCTGGCCGATCAGGTCCTGCTCTGTGGGAGGGGAGGGGAGAAGGCTTTCGTATCTGTTGCCACCATGTCAGCCTCCTTAGGCCCCAGTGACTCGCCTTCCCTCTGGCCTTGAGCCACTCACTCCCTCCTCAAGTACTGCTGTAGGCTGAGGCCCAGAGGCCCTAAAGCCAACTGGGCCAGAGCTCAGAGCCATGGTCCCCCCCACCCCCCGGCCAGGACCCCACACTCACCAGAAAGGGCGTTAGCGGCTGAGGCCCCAGGGTGCCCTGGCACCTGCAGCAGGGGTGGGGGTGGGGGCAGGGGAGGGCCAGGGGAGAACAAGGAGGGGTGGTGGGGTGGAGGGGGGGCCCGCAGGCCCGGGGGAGGAAAGCTGTGGGCGGACAGAGGCAAGGGCAGTGAGGGCGTTGGGGGCCGGTGGGTGAGCTGCGCGGACGAGGAGGAGGCAGATGAGGAGGAGGAGGACGAAGAGGATGATGAGGGGGGAGGCTGAGCCACGGGAGGGGCCGGGGCCTTGGGGGGCGGCCGTGAAGAGCTGGGGAGAGAAGTGGGGAGATGAGTGAGGAAGTGGGAGGTGCCAGCTCTGACGGGAGGGGGTCAGAAGCCTGGGTGATAATACTTTGTTTCTCCAAACAGAACTCCCTCAGATAACCCAGCCTCAGACTGAGGTGCCTCCCACACCCGACAAACCCCCTCTCTTCTACCTCTGCCATCTCTGGCCATATGACTTTCCCTTTTCTGACTCAAACACAGCACCAAACAGATCATTCATTTTGATGTCTAATTACACTGGGCCACCTGGGTTCCCACCCTAAGACAGTGGAACAACCACACTGGCCTGTCCTAGGAATCAGGAGATCGAATTCTAGGCACATCTTGCCACAAACACCATGGGAAACCTTGAGCAAGTCACTGCCCCTCTCTGAGCCTTAGTTTTCTCAATAATAACAATGATGATGACAACAGAAAGAGCAACAATAATGACAGTATCAACGATTCCTTACCCTTTGGTGAGCATTTACTGTAGGCCAACTGCTGGCACTGCTTTATAAGCTATGGCAAGTTTCCCGCATTTACACCACTTCTCAACACTGCTGCGGCCATACAACCATCTGTACTATGCAAGTTCTACAACTCACTCTCTTTTTTTGGCCTCACCCCAAGCAGTAACACGTAAACTCAAGTTGTGGTACTAGCCATGTTTTCCTAAAGCACATAAAAGCTAACCTGTGGCTAGTTTAGAGCTAACTCAGGTGAGACCTGGCATCATCCCCAGTCCCCACTTGTGACGAGTATACACGCTTTCGGAAACACTGTATTTACTCCGAATTAGCTAGACAACAGCTTTAGGATGAAAGTACCGTTATTATTTCATTTTGTAGGAAAGAGGAAACTGAGGCTCAGAGGTTAAATGACTTGTCAGAAATCACAGAGCCAGTAAGTGGCAGAAGAATAATTTGAATCCGGGTCTTACTGACACCAAAGCCAGCACTCTTTAAGTATCATGTCAGAATTTCCCAAAGTATATTCCAAAGAGCACTATTCCTAGCAGATTTGCTTTAGAAGAAATTCTCACCAGAAAATAAAACCTGGAAATGGCACCAATAGGATTGATTGCCCAGATAAGTCCTAGAGTCATCTCTGAAATTGTATTTCACCCAGTGTCTCTCAAACTTTTTAGCCTCAGAATCCTTTTTCACGCCACACCCCATCCCATGTCCATCAAAGAATGCAAGGGTTGGAGCCAAATAACCAGGCCCTTCCAGATCAGACCAGCTACCTGAGTCACTCACCTGCCAGTGCTGAGATCCAGGCTGCTGCCATAGGGAGAAGTGCGGAGGCCGAATGGCGAGACCCGAAGCTGCAGCTGGGGCTGGGGTGGGGGTGGCAGGCTGGGGGTGGCCGGCAAGGGTGCAGGGGGTGAGACAGGAGGCCGAGGGGCTGGTGGAGGCGGTGGTTCCTTTGGGGGGAAAGGCACTAGCAGCGGGTCGGGCCCTGGGGGCTGTTCCTGGCTCCGCTCCAGGCCCGACACTTTAGGGACCACGGAGAGTTTTGCTTCACAGTTCCCATTGAAGGCGCCATGGGGCCCCGAGGCTGTGAGGGCAGGACAGCAGACATGCTCAGCTGAAGTTCATGCTCACCCAACTCTTCCCGCTTGCCTCCATCCCAGCCCTTGGCACCAACCTTTGCTGGTTGAGACAGTAAAGGATGGGTCGAGGTCATCATCAGAGACCTGGCAGAGAAGGCAGGAAGATGGTTAAGTTATAGTCAAGCCAGGCCTCCACCTAGGAAGGCCCATAGCCTCTGGAGCCTGCTAGGTATGGGGGTGATAGCAACTCTATTCTATCACTGGACTTTGGGCTCTAGCGGGAGTTAAGCTTGGAGACAGAAGTGGGGCAGCAGAGCCAAACAAAAAAAAATCTGCTAGTCCAAGAAGACTGAATCAAGGCAGCACTTTAGTAACAAAAAGTAGGCAAATCAAAGTGTCAGACAGGCCTTAGGCCCACCTGGCCTAAACATCTGTTTGGCTCCCTAGCCTTAGTAAAAAACTAAGCTGCTAATACTATGAAACCTAGAGACTCCTTAAAAACCTAGACTTAAAATTCTCTTGAGAATGGATCCCTATTTTCATGTGGCAGGAAACTGGCCACTCCCCTTGGACAGACGGTTCTCTGGGTCATCATACTCCATGCCCAGAAAACTTCTGAAGGAAAATGAGACAAACATCAGTAAGTACAAACTGAGTTACTTACAGGAGTAAATGGATATAGCATTATTTCCTAGGATACATTAGCTCAGAATAAGCAAATGAAGCTCTAATAATAAACTGAAATTCACCTACATGGAAGAGCTCCTTCAATGACACTGAAGTAGCTTCACGTCTTATGGCTTGTCTTTGCTCAGACTCCTCATTCAAAACACCTTATAGTATAAGCGGACTAATGGCTAGGAAGAACCATTCTGGATTACCATGAAGAAATGGTGATGGCTCTTTAGAAGAGATGCCATACCAAGACTTGCAGCTAGTCTTCCTGGCTCAACCTAATTCATGTTGCCCACTCAAAAGGAGGCTTTTGGGGCATTCAGAAGGTCTTTAAATTATAGTCTATTTGATAGGCTGTGACACTGCCCACCCAACAAGTTCCAGCCCCACTCACCCTCTCATCCAGATCACTTTCCGCATCACACTGGGAAGAGGGAAAAAAAGAGAGGTGTCAGGAAAGGAAAGAAAAGTGGGATACAAGGGGTGAGGACAGGCCAATTTAGGGGGACAGCACTTACTATGTATCCAGCTTCCAGAGAATGGCGAGAGAAGGCCTGAGAAAGACCAGAGTCCAGAGGTAAGGCAGGATGACTAGATATCCAGGCAATTCAACAAAATTTCAACTCCCCGTTCAGTATTCAAGGTCCCTCATGCTTTTCTAGCTTCTCTCATTCCCAATGTGCTTGCCAGGCTCTTAAGTACAACAGGTTCTCACATCTATGTGCCTTTGCTCAAAACAGCTTTTCTCCATTTCTCCTCTTAGCAAACTTCTGACTGTACTTCGGGGCCTAAGACATCATAGGGGGCTTTCCCTAACCACAACCCTCTGCCCATCCCCCAGGCCGAATGAGTGGCTTCCTCATGTTGGTTTCTGCAGCACTGCTCCCAAATCCCCACCTTATGTAGCCTCCCAAATCATGGCCCAAATGTTTACTTGTCCACTGCCACCACCTCCAGGGAAGGAAAGGGACCACATTTAACTTATTTATCATTCAACCAAGTCCTTTAGATGTGTCTTGAATTACTAGCATGTTTGAAGTAGACATAATACCAACCACAAGCAGGTGAATCTGACTGTACATAATTCTTTGTCAGACCTGAAAGGGGGGGGGCACTCTGGCTGGTTTTGCATTCTTTTCTGCATTAAAGACTGGGATCACTGTTTAGAGTGGGCAGTGGTACTGCTGATTGGACCTAAGTCAAGACACTATACCTGTCAGTTTTAGAGGATGTGTATCTGGGAAGAGCTCACCTCTTTCCTTCTCCGCTTATTGGGCCATTTGCGGGCTCGATCCCCAGGGGGCCGGCCAGGCTCTCGATCAGAGCTGTCCCCTGGCTCCCCAGTGGCCCCACTGGAGCCCCCCCTCTTCCGTTTCCCAGAATGCTTCAGCCGATGTTCCAGTCGCTCTGGGGGCTGAAGAGATGCATCCTTCTGTGGAGGAGGAGGTGGGACTGACGTGGATGGAAAATGAAAGCTTCCCACCTCTTTTAGGGGTGATCAGGCTTCCAAAGCGCCTCTGGCTGGTGACCCAGCTGGTCCCTGGAGACTAACTGCTCTACCTCCTCCTACCCTAGGGTGGGGCGAGGCCGGCCAGAGGAGCCGGTCGCTCTGGTTTGGGTGGCAGCAACCCCCCCTCCACTCCCCCACCCAAGGCACGGTGCCTGCTCTGCCCCTCGGACCCCCAGGCCCAATCCCGCCAGGCCTTACCTGCAAGGCCTCGAGGCTGGCGAAGCTGGCGATGGCAAAGCCATCGATCAAGTCCTCCTCCTCCTCCTCCTCTTCCTCCGGCTCCTCCTCGGCCTCTCCGTCGTCGGGGCCCCCCTCTTCCTCCTCCTCCTCCTCTTCCCCACGGCTGCCCGAGCCGGCGGGCCGCTTCCGAGCTCGGGGCCGCGGGGGCCGCGGTCTGGGACGAGGTCGCCGCCGCCTCGGGCCCCCGGGCCGCTCACCCGACGAGGCGGAGGACCAGGGCCTGGCGGGCGGCGGCGGCGACGACGACGACGAAGAGCCGCGCGGGGCGGCCAGCAAGGCCCGGGGCGCGTCGCCGCCCGGTCCGCGGCGGCGCCGCTGTTCCCGGTCTCGGTCCCGGCGCGAGCAGCGCCGCCGCCGTCGCTCCCCCTCGGCCACCCAGCCCGGGCCTGGGGCTGCGGCCGCTGCTGTCTCCATGGCGACGGCCCTCAGCGCCGCATCCGGAGGCGACGCGGCCCGGAGTGGCCTGTCCGCAGGCCGGGGGTCGCAGGCGCGGTGCTGACGGCGGCTCAGGGAAGAGAAGGCCCCGGCTTCCCCTCTAAAGCAGGATCTGCTGGCCCCGAACTCGCCCCAAGGCCAAGGCCCGGAGAGCCGGCGCCGCCCCCGGGGCGACAAGCCCGAGGGCCCCCCCTGTGGGGCCGGCGGGGCCGCGACGGCGAAAACGGGGCGGCCGTCCCTTTAAGGCGAGTCCTCAAGCTGTCCAGCCCCCGGCCCCTTTAAGACGACCCGCCGGTGTCCGGCCGGCCTAGTGCGGTGGCCGCCCCCTGCCAGGGGTCGAGGCAAGTCTCCCCGAGGAAGAGGAAGGACCACCCCTTTAAAAGGGGCCGAAAGCTCGACCCGAAACGCAGACCTTCCCTTTAAAAGTGTCTCAAGTCCTCCGGCTAAAAGAGGCCACCCCTTTAAGGAGTCCAGGGTCCTTCTAACAGCAGGCCGATCCTTTAAGAGCTCGAGAGCTGGTTTCTACTCCTCCACAAGCAGCCACTTCCCCTTTAAGCAGAGTTTAAAGGACTTCTTCCGTGGGGCGGGAGCAGAGAAGAGAAAAACCAATCGTCCCGGTTCTCCCAACAGCAGAGTTCACGATTTGTCAATCTTCGGTTCGACAGCTTCTCCTTTAAGGCTAGCGTTCAAGTCGGCAGAGATCGGTGGCCACCCCTTTAAGATTTAAAGGGGCCTTCTCCGAACCCAGCTTTTCCATCCTCCGCCTCCGTTCGCCATGAAAGGCGCGAGGGGGGGCGGGGCCCCGGGGCCAGCCCTCCAAAGCCCCGGATGTGAGGCAACGGTGACGGGTGTAGCTCCTCTGTACGCCGACATAAAAGTCTCTTCCTCTTTTCTTCCGTCTTTGCCTAACTTGTGCTTTAGGGGATGCGGAACGACCGTTGGGCCGCGAAAAAACTCCAGCGCATCTTCCTGTTGTCTCCTTTGGAGTCCCAGGCCTCTTCTCCGCCAGGACTCCCCTGCCCCTCCTCCCTCTTCCTCCTCAGCCTACGCCTCCTTCCTCTCTCTGCCTCCGCCCACTCTCCGCCCCCTTCCCCTCCCCCCGCACAGGCCTAGTCATTGATAGGTGGGCAAATGTGCGTCAAGGCGAAGGGCGGAGTCAAGCTCTGGGGAGTGGGTAATAGGTAACCGCCCTCAAATCTTGGATTGGGTTACATCAGGTTAGCTCCGCCCTCTCCCAAGTCTTGTGACTCGACTGGTTAGAAGTAGGTGTTTGGGGTGGTTCCCCCGGTAGCCCCGCCTCTTCCTACTCTTCGTTTATTGGCTTCTTTCTGACGGCGTTCAGGCAAGGAGTTGGGCGAGGAGTTCGTCGTAGGGGGCAGTTGGCCGCTTGGCGGCGCGCGGCTGCGGAAGGTGCGGTTCTACGTGCAGTTCCTCCGATTTTCGTCGCTTGGCGTTTTGCGCATGCGCCTGGTGACCGCACCACCGCTAGGGCTTCCTTGGTAGATCGCTCCGCGGTGTCAGATGGCTTCAAGGCCTCGCGTTATTTTCTAGTGCCTGGGAGTGTGGGAAGACCGCGTTGGGTTACAGCCGGGTTAGAGTGCTGGACGGAGCTCCCCGAGCTCCTTTTAACTCATTTGGTAGTAGCAATTCTCTGCACACGCTGCTATCTGCGCATTTTACCGAGGACGGGTAAAGCAGCTAGGATCCTGGTTCCAGCCATCTCTGGCCAGCATTCCACCGACTCCACGTGAAAGATGGCGAGTGCCACTGACTGACCCGTTTTAATGTGTCATGTACACCCTAACCCTAATTCTTTCATAGGGCTACGTTGTTACCTGTGACAGGCTATTATGGTGTGTGTGTGTGTGTGTGTGTGTGTGTGTGTGTGTGTGCGTGCCAGTACTGGGGCCAGAACTCGGGGTCTGGGCTGACCCTTAGCTTTTTCGCTCAAGGCTAGCACTTTGCCACTTGAGCCACCGTTTCACTCCAGGCATTTTTGGTGGTTAATTGGTGCTAACTTGACTGCCTGGGCGGGCTTCAAATTTCCATCCTCAGATCTCAGCCTCGGGAGTAACTAGGATTACAGTGAGCCATTGGCACTAGGACTTTGATTTTAGCTTTTGCTCTGGCATCCAAATCTGCAAGTTGGAAGGGATTCAGGACTATCTTGATCAAGGCTTTAGCTTACTCTGTATCTTTAAGCCTCTTTAATGTAAATGGCATGGGAAAATTCTGACAAGGATCCCAGGTTTCATTCAGAAGTATCCTTCTCAGAATTTACAAATAAAAAGTTATTTTGGGGCCTGGTGCTGGTAGTTCATGCCTATAATCCAAGCTATTCAGGAAGCTGATATCCAGAGGTGGCATAAAAATCTGTCTCCAAAATAACTAGTAAAGGAAGTAGAGCTATGGGGCTGGGAAGGTGGCTCAGTGGTAGAGCACTTGCCTTGCATGCATGAGGCCCTGGGTTCGATTCCTCAATACCACATAAGCAAAAAGAAAAAAGCTGGAAGTGGCGCTGTGGCTCAAGTGGTAGAGCGCTAGCCTTGAGCTGAAGAGCTGAGGGACAGCGCCCAGGCCCAGAGTTCAGGCCCCATGACCAGACTCCCCCCCCCCCCCAAAAAAAAAAAAGAAAAAAAAGAAAGGAAGTAGAGCTGTGGCTCAATGTGGTGGAGATACAGCCTTGAGCAGAAAAGCTTGGGGACAGCACCCAGGCCTAATTCAAGCCCCAGAACTGACAAAACATTAAAAAGTGGTACTGGAAGCACGGCTCAATTGATAGGGTGCAAGTGAAGCAAACACAGATACCGAGTTCCAAACCCAGCCCTGTGCTTTGGAGAAGAGCAGATCTTCAATGACCAATTCCGTTTCTTCTCTGTCCCTCATCTTTTCCTACCCCCTCCCCCACCCCCACTTTTCCAGACAACATAGAAAAGTATCAGTATGGTCAATTTCCAACTTAGCTAGAGACACAAAAGAATCAAACATATTGAAAACTTTACTTAGAAATATAGAGGAAAAAAATATAATTGCTTCAGAGGTTTTCCCCTCCAGGATGGATGGCAGGACAAAACAGCTGGAGCTCCTAGGGTTGATGGGGCTGCTTCCCATCCAACTCTTCCTCCAGGAGCAAGGCGTCAAGCTCCTCCAGACGCTGCTGTAGCAGGGCTCCCACATCTTTGCTGGGTGACACCTTGGGAGTAAGGGTCCTGCTAGGTGCAGCTCGGATGCCACGAGATGGCCGCCGGGATCGAGGAAGGCTGCTGTCCCGAAATTCTACAGCCCGCCGGAGCTTCTTTGAACTGGTAAGAATCAGAGTCCCATTGCGCTCCCGAGGCTCCTCAAAGATGGTCTCAAAGGTCCTGGATCAAGCAGGGAGAGAGCAGCTGTTTACCAACATGGCTCTTGGTTCTAGTTTCCCTGTATCACCTTCAAAACCTTCCAAGTATCTCACCTCCTGGTTGTTGGCGATTGATAATTCTTGTTGGTATAAATTTCTTCCAAGCTAAACTCCTTCTTGTTCAACCTGAGAGCAAAGTGCAGAGGCCACTAAGAAACCACAGCCCAGCAGAGTTTAAAGGACTCCATTAGGGCTGATTTGTAGTTGAGTTTCTGGGACTTGCCAGGATTAGTGAGTGCTATCTGAGGCAGACAGGAAGTTCTAAGCACAAACCTTGTCCATACCAAATTGAATTTCCCAGCCTGGACCTTGGTGCTGATAGGAGATATAGCCATACTTCAGGGGAGTATAAGCTTCTGCTCGCTTGGCTAAACCAACTCTCTGCCTGGTGACCCACTCACCTGATTGGTCGAGGGAGCCCCATTGGCGTGAGCTTTAGCTGAGGACGGACGGGTGTCCGGCGTATTCTGAATCCAGAAACCTTTCCCATAGCCTGTAAAGATGAGAAGGGGGTGAAAAAGAAGCAGAGGCTCAGCCCCTCAATTGTCTCCTGCTCATCATCTGTATTTATTTATTTATTTTTGTCGGTCATGGGGCCTGAATTCTGGGCATGGGCTCTGTCCCTCAGCTCTTCAGCTCAAGGCTAGCGCTCTACCACTTGAGCTGTGGCGCCACTTCTGGCTTTTTCTGCTTATGTGGTGCTGAGGAATCGAATCTAGGGCCTCGTGCATGCAAGGCAACACTCCACCACTGAGCCACCTTCCCAGCCCCCATCATCTGTATTCTTACCTTGGTCTCTGGTTCTGAAAGCACCTGGTCCTTGGAGGCTCTTGTTTCCTTCCCCTTGGTTGAACCCAACCTACAAAGAAGGGCAAGCTCAAGAACAGAAATCACTACAAAACCCCACCTCCTGCCCACTGGGCACTCAGGGAAGGAAGCTGGGTACAGGCTGTGGCCAAGGCTTCCAGGAGGCTCTACCTGGGTTCTGCTGGTTCAGAGAAGGAAGAAGTGGATGCAGTGGACGAACAAGATGTGGTGAGAGGAGAGGCTCCCACTCCTCCAAGAGGGAAGACCTCTTTCCGGAGACAGGGCCGGGGTGGTGGTGGGGCTCGGGCCATTTCCCCACCACCCACAGTGTGGCGCCGAGGCCTTGGCCGGCTTGGCTGGGGTGGAGCAGGGGGCCAGGTGTAGCTGACTGGGCCAGCAGGCCCCAAATCAGGGCAGGAGTGGCTTCGGCCTAGAGAGAGCTTAGGGGAAGGTGCTGGGGTACTACAGCCCTGAGTTCGCCATTGGTGGATCGGGGGCCGGGGGCTGACAGTTGCAGTTTCCTTGGTAGCATTGGACTGCTCGGCCTCAGAGATGGCAATCTTCAACTCTAGCTTCATGGGGGGTGATGGGGGTGGGGGCTTTGGGATTTTGTTGGGTGTGAGGAAGATATCAGTGAAGCTCTCTAGCTTAGAGCGGACGGAGCGGAAAAGGGGGGCCAAACTCCAGGGACTGAGGCGAGGGCGTAAGAGGCTGGACGGTGGTGGGGTCGATGGGGGCTCCATAACAGGATCTGGGGCTGTAGAAAGGATAGGGTCACAGTTGGCATTCCCCGACTGCAGGTTTTTAAGCCTCACACCTCATTTGTCTCAACCCCTCCCCCCTACACACTCATTACTGTCTACAGAGGAATGAGCCCACTCCAAAAAATTAAGTCCTGCAATGAGGAGTCAAACCACACGTCTGTGAAGTCGAAATACCAGTTCCTGCACTATGTTCTGCCCTAGGAGGGGTTACGCCCATACCCACTTCTGACCCTGAGTTTTCAAAGCTTAGCTAGGATTTCCCAGATCCTAAGTTTCATCCCTTCTCCCTGAGTCCTCACCTGGTAGTGGGCTCTGTGGAGGGTCCGCAGGCAGGATAGATGGCTGGAATGGAGGCTGTGAGTCTCCGAGTGTAGGTGGGAGCTGGTGAGCCATTGTCACGGGCTCAGCTCTGGGATGGAGGGGCGATGGGGGAGCTTCGGAGTCCAGATCCCACCTAGGCCAGCACTTCCTTTGTCCCTTAGGGCTTCTGGAGGTGCTACAAAGAAGGAAATGATACATAAATCCCAATGCCTCAGCTACTGGGATGATGACTTTGATCATCCCTTTCCCAGCCCTCTCACCTTTGTGCAGAGAAGAGGCTGGGGCTGTCACTGGCGTAGCTCTGAATATAAATAGGGAAGTTGTGAGAAGGCAAGGAAGCCCTCTTTGGCCTCCTCATTCTATGTCTTGATTCATTTGGTCCCCGTATCTGCTTGGATGCATACCAAAGACCTTTTCGTGTAGTTTTATTTTGGCCGGATCTGGAGTTTGAACTCAGAGCCTGAGCACTATGCCTTAGCTTTTTTGCTTAAGGCTAGTGCTTTGCTGCTTGAGCCATAGCTCCAGTTCCAGCTTTTTGCTGATTAATTGGAGATAAAAGAGTCACTTGGGTTTGCCTGCCTTGGCTGGCTTCAAACTCTGCTCCTCAGATCTCAGCCTCCTGAGTAGCTGTAATCCACAGGTGTGAGCCACCAGCACCCAGCTTCTTTCGATATATTCTTTGCTTTGGTGTAGTATGTGCTACCTAAAATACTAGTGTCCTTGCCAACCCAGATGCAGAACCCAGAGAAAGCCAACCCAGATGCAGAACTCCTCCCCTTGTCTTCTATCCTCACTGGAGTGCTTGCCCCAGCTGAACCTGACATTCTCAACCCAGTTAACATACCTCAGCCTGGAGTCTGGGACTAGTAATGTCTTCCAACACCACTACCAGGGTTGGTTGGGGGCCCTGGTCCACCTTTTGTGAAGCGCCCTCCTCTGGGCCAGGGGTTGTTTGTGATCGCAGCCTTAGAGTAGAAGAGGACCTGTGGATTCGGCTTAAGGGCTCTCGACACAAATGCAGCGAGTCGGGAGGCCTAGAAAAGGAACAGGAACATCAGTGGGCTCAGCTGTGTCCCCAGCCTACTCTCTCTCCTCACCATGCTCACCTGGCCTGTGAGGACCACTTGACTTGAGGTGGAGAGGCAAGTGACTGACTGCACACAGAATCCTTATGTTTGCTGTGGTGTTGTGGGACAGGTGTATCCCTTTGGGGAACCAAGGGGTGCTAGGAGAAAAAGAAGTGCTGGAATGAGGTTGGATTACACAAGTCTCCCTTTGCCTAACAATGCTCTGAGACACATAGTTGACAGAGATTGTGGCTAGAATTCACTCAGATCCTTAAAGAAGAGGTGAGATTATCTGAATTAGAGGTCAGATTAATATTAGCATCCTAAGCTACAGGTGTGGGCTGTAGGTAATCTCTCCCAGGTTGTTTGGAGAACTGAAAAAAGGACGGTAATTTGGGGGGGGGGGTCCCTGTCCTGTTTTTGTGGGTTGTGGGGCTTGAACTCTGGGCCTGGGCGTTGTCCCAGAGCTCTTCAGCTCAAGGCTAGTGTTCCACCACTTAAGCCATAGTGCCACTTCCAGCTTTTTCTGTTTATGTGGTGCTGAGGAATTGAACCCAGGGCCTTATGCATACAAGGCAAGCACTCTACCACCGAGCCACCTTCCCAGCACGCCCCCTCCCCTGTCCTATTTTGAATCTCAGTTTTTCTCATCTGTGCAGTACAACCAAATATATCAGCATGTTTCTCAAGGAAAAAAAAATGCAGGTGTGCGTGTGTGTGTGTGTGCGTGCCTGTACTGGGACTTGAACTCAGGGTCTGGGCACTGTTCCTTCCACCTCTCTTCTCAAGGCTAGTGCTCTACCACTTGAGCCACAGCTCCACTTCTAGCTTTTTGCTGACTGATTAGAGATAAGAGTCTCAAGGACTTTCCTAGCTGACTTTGAACCCTGATCCTCATCTCAGCTTCCTGAATACCTAGGATTTACAGGTGTGAGCACCTGTGCTCAGCAGGAAATGTTCATTAGACTTCAGAACTGTACAAAATGTGGACCCAGCGCGATATGGAGGTGGGTCACTGAAGACCTTGCTTTATTCTAGGGTGGCATTAGTGGGAGCCATGCAGGACCCTAGCATTAAGGAAGTTGCCTGGGTGATGGACATGAGAATCACATCAGTATCCTCCTCGGGATCTGGTCTGACTCTGGTCTTGAACAAAGTTGCTGGGGGAGATTTTCAGTTCAGGGAGCTCACCATGTGGGTAGCCATGATATCTTCCAGCACCACGGCTAGGACCCGCCGAGATGCCTTTTCCAGGGGCGAAGGGGCCCCTACAGGCTGTTGCAGCCTCGGTCTTTTCGGGCTTCTGGCTCCCCATAATGCTCGAGTCAGGGGCTGACGGCACAAATTCGTCTGGTTAGACTGGCTGGAGAGTAAAAGAAAGAAGAGGACAGTCGCCTGAAACCTGTCGTTGGCACTGTAGCTTCCCAGTACAGCAGCCAGGATCCCCGTCTCCCGGGCTCAAGACAGGCGGGCGGGGTGCGCTCTCACCTGGAGTCCCCAGGCAAGTCCATGGGGGAAGCGGCGGATCCAGGGGGTCCCTGGGGGATCCCAGGCTGCGGCCTGGGGCAAGGGGGGAGCAGGGGAGCGGGGAGTGAGGGCCGGTCCCTCCCGCGGGGCTCCACCCTTCATGGTCCGCCTGCGGCTCCGGGAAGCCCACAGGCTCTCGAGCCCTGGGGAGCGTAAGGGCGCCCCCTTCAGGCCGCCCGGAGCGGGCGTCCTCCCGCTGCCGCCGGCTCGATCAGCGGATCACTCGGGCACTGCCTGGCACCTGCCGCGAAACTCTGGTATTGCGGAGGCCCGAGCCTTCCTGAGCCTTTGTCCCCGCAGGTTCCGCCCTTGAGATTCCCTGGGATCCGCTGGGATCCCGATGCTGGAAGGCTGTATTTCCGCTGGCTCCCTCTTCGATCCTCCTCCCCTCTGAGCCAGTGGCACACACACGGCACACACACACACACTCCACACACAGCACACGGACAGCCCTCCCGCCCACCAGATCCCTTAGACCGGATCCCTCAGGAAAGAATCCAACAGCGCACTCCTTCCCATCGGAGCAGCCGCGCCAGGCTCCTCCCCGGTGAGCCTCGGCTCACCCAAGTTCCACTCAGCCGCGCGCGGCCCGACTTCGGGCATCGCGGAACTCAGGCAGGATCCCGGGGGATCTACTGTCAGGCAGATACCCTCCCTCCCATCCCGGGAGGTCCCGCCCACCCCAGCCCCCGCCCTGCCCCAGCCCGGCCTCCTCCCGAGCCCGAGACCAGAGGGTTCCAGCTCTTCCTTCCCCGCCCGCCTCCTGCCCTCTCCCAGACAGCCGGTGCCCTCCCCCGCGCGCCGCTCACCGCCGCCTCCCGCGGACCCCGGTGTCTCACAGCTCCCACCGCCGGCTCCTTTAAAAGCAGCCTTACCCAACGCTGTCCAACCGGCGGAAGCCTTCTTCGGCGAGTCGCCGGGCACCGCCCAATCGCCGTCTCCGGTCTTCCGGAGTGGGACGAAAATAAGTGAAGCCGCCCAGCGGCCATCCTACTTAAGGGCACGGAGCCAAATTGGTTGACGCCGCCATCGTAGTTGAGGGCAAATAGCCTGGGACGAACCTTGGCGACCAGAGTTGTGGCCAAATACTACGGGTTGGTTTATTGAGCTATTGACACCACCATAGTGAAGCTAGCGTTCCTCCACGTTCTCCCTTGGTTCTTGGGTCTCTACACGTCGACCCCCCCCCCCCCAGGGTAACGACTTGTGAAATTCCCAGTATCCTAGAGCGGCCACCTGGGAGGCCACGTCCTGCCCGGGCCGGGCTTCCTCAGCCGGGGATGGCGGAACCCCCAAGGTCAAAGACTGCGGGCTGCCGGGGTGGATGGGTGGGTGGGTGGGTGGGGACCGCCGGCCCTTCGCCTCGCCGAGCCTTCCCCACCCGCCCCCGCCTCCTGCCATTTTACACCCTCTCGCGCTTCTCCGGCGTCGCCTGCAGGTCCGGGAAGAATCTGGGCTGGGCGGCAGCGAGGGTGAGCGGCCAGACCACCTGTGACAGCGTCGGCCGCCCGCGGGCCCCGACCACCGTCCCCACCTTGGAGTCACCGGAGCCTTTGTCCCCCCGCGGCCTCCTTCCACGTGCCCCACCACCAAGCCCATTTTTTTGTTTTTTTCTTTTTCCCCGGCTGTACTGGGGTCTGAGCTCAAGGCTTTGTGCGTTCCTGGCAGGAGCATTACCTCTTGAGCAACGCCCCCTCCCACCCCGCCCCCAGCCATTTTTTCCTGATTTTTTTTTTTTTTTTAATTCGGCTAGCCAGGACTGCTGTTCCCTCCATGTAGCTGGAGGATCTTATTTTTTGCTCCTGCTGGCCTCAAAGTGAGATCCTTCCAGTCTCTGCCTCCCTCCCAATCTTTACCTTCTGAGCAGCTGGGATGGTAGGTGTGTATTGCCACACCTGGAACTTTTTTTTTTTCGGGGTGAGGGTGGACAGTACTGGAGTTGGAACTCAGGGCTTCATGCTTGCTAGGCAAGTGCTCTACCACTTCCTACACCTCCAAGTCCCAGCCTAGTGTTTAAGGTCTAAGATCAGGGTGGGGTGGTGCCTCCTAGTCCAGAATAATTCTTTCTCAGGAATTTAGAAAATCTAGGAGATAGGCTAATAAGCAGAGAGCCCATTCAGTAAGAGTCTGTAAAGTGAAGACTCCCCCACTCTCCTCAAGGACTCAGGATTCAAGTGACATTGTAAACATTACAATATCTCTGTATTAGGAGGTCAACTGGGTCCTCTGGAATTTGTGTGTATGCCAATACCTGGGCTTGAATTCAGACCTAGGCTCTGCCCTTTAACTTTTTCTGCCCCATGTAAGTAACAGCTCCATTTCAAGCCTTTTGGTGGTTAACTGGAGATAGTCTCTGGAATGTGTCTACCACCCAAGCTGGCTTCAAACTGAGATCCTCAGATCTCAACCTCCTGAGTAGCTAAGATTTTAGGCATCAGATATCAGCAAGCGACAGCCAAGCTGATCTTTGAGTTGCTAGTTCTTGAAGTTTCAACCATACCAAGGGCAAAGGGAGTAGCTAGAGGGCTGGGGCTGAGAGTCTTTAGAAAGTGCCCAGCCCTAGGGCCTGAATTTGAAGTGTCAGTGGGTCTAAAAATTGGAGTTTAACTGGACTAGGGTGTGGTTTAACTCCTAGAGTGCTTGCTTCCTAAGTGTGAGACCCTGAGTTCAATCCCCAGTAGTAGTCCTAATAATAAAAGCTAGCATGGCTCAAGTGGTAGAGCCCAAGCCATGAGTGACCTAGCAGCCTGAATGCAAGGTCATGAGTTCAAACTCTGGTACTAGGCAAAACAAAACCCTAATGAAAATACATTTAAGATCCCCTCTGGCAGTGCTGGGCCCTCACTCCAGACCAACAAGGTCTGGATTCACTTCTTTATACTTTTGTTGGGGGAGTTAGAGGAGAGCAATACTGGAGCTTGAACTAGGCCCTCATGGACTTTGTGCTTTCATTTAGCTTTTCCATTCAAAGCTGGGGCTTTACCACTTGAACCACACACACTTCTGGCTTTTTGGTGGTTAATTGGAGATAAGAGCCTCTCAGGTTGTGTCTGGCTAGACTGGCTTGGAACCTCCATCCTCATATCTCCGCCTTCTGAGTAGCTAGAATATTAAAGACATGAGATACTAGCACCTGACTGTAATTTGGAATTCCTATGGCTTCAAATTCATTATCCTCCTGTCTCAGCCTCCTGAGTGATATGCACCAACACTGTCTGTGTGTGGTGCTGGGGATTTATCCCCAGATTATATTGTATACTGAGCTCAACCAGCCTCAAATACATACTCCAAGGCCTCAAATCTTTTAACCCGCACCCCTCTGCAAAATAGATCTTGGCCTATTTTCTTTTAGTGGGGTGCTGGGATGGAACCCAGGGCCTCATCCATGCTAAGCAAGCACGCTGCCCAAACCATACCATACCCAGGCATCACATCATTTTACTGGAGACACATTTCTGTTAGGGTTTTGCTACCTGGATGCAGCTGTTCCCTGGCAGCTCCAGCACCACTGGTGCTGCCTTGATGGTGGCCAGCAGCTACTCATCATACTCTCCTCTTAAGAGCTCTGGTATGGGGCTGCTCAGTGAAATACTCTTCAATGAGCAGTTTTCCTTGGCACTCTAGAGTGAAGATTTCAGAAAGTTCCTCTAGAGTGGCACCGCAGCAATTTCAGTGTCCTCTCCCAAAGGTTCTGGACCTCAGCACCCTGGAGGGTGGAGGTTTTGCCACTATTTGTCTGAGGGGTAATGGCTGTTCCTTGCTGTGGATATTCCTATAACTTTTAGAGTTCTCTTTATGATACTTACAGTGGGAAGAATTTGCCCCTCCTCTAACATATGTTCAAATCTTTCCCCTCTCCATTTTTTCCTGTGATTGGGCAGATGTATACTGGGTGTCAGTGGCTCACGTCTGTAATCCTAATTATTCAGGAGGCAGAGATCTGAGGATCCCAGTTTAAAGCCAGCCTGGACAAGAAAGCCTGTAAGACTTTTTTTTTTGGTGGTAGTGGTGGTCATGGGGCTTGAACTGTGGGCCTGAGCGCTCTTCAGCTCTTCAGCTCAAGGCAAGTGCTCTACCACTTGAGCTATAGTGCCATTTCTGGTTTTCTGGTAGTTTATTGGAGATAAGAGTTTCTCGGACTTTCCTGCCCAGGCTGGTTTTGAACTGTGATCCTCAGATCTCAGCCTTCTGAGTAGCAAGGATTACAGGCATGAGGCACTAGCACCCTGCTGTCTGTAAGACTCTTAGTTCCAATTAACCATCAAAAATCCAGAAGTGGAGCTGTGGGTTAAAGTGGCTGAGCTCCAACCTTGAGCAAAAAAGCTCAGGGACATGCCTGGGCCAAATTAAGCCCTAGTACCAGGGGGGAAAAAAAGGTATGTGTGGGGGAAGGAATGTGTTCATGTTTAGATGGAAACAAAAGCACTACAATGAGTTTTCTAGGTATTTCAAATAACACTTTTAGGAAACTGATTAGTGTGTTTGTGTCTCAAATACAGTTGGCATTGGAAATTTAGTCCTTGTATGTATATGTGTGTGTGTATATGTGTGTGTGTGTGTGTGTGTGTGTGTGTGTGTGTGCCAGTCCTGGGGCTTGAACTCAAGGTCTGGGTGCTATCCCTGAGTTTTTGTGCTCAAGGCTAGCACTCTAGCACTTTCAGCCATAGCTCTGCTTCTGACTTTTTGGTGGTTAATTGGAGTTAAGAGTCTCATAGACTTTCTTGCCCAGGCTGGCTTTGAACTGCGATCATCAGATCTCAGCCTCATGAGTACTTAGGACTACAGGACTGAGCCACTGACACCTGGCCATATGTTTTAGAATGGAATGTTAAAAATAAATGAAGGTTTTATTATAAACTTTCTCTCACCTACAAAAATGCTCATAGGTGTTCTGAAAATGATGACATTTTTTTTGTTTTGTTTTGTTTTTGCCAGTCCTGGAGCTTGACCTCAAGGCCTGGGTACTTTCTCCTTGCTTCTTTTTTTGCTAGCCTACTACCACTTGAGTCACAGTACCATTTCTGGCTTTTTCTGTTTATGTGGAACTGAGGAATCGAACCCAGGCTTCATGCATGCTTGGCAAGCACTCTACCACTAAGCCCCATTCCCAGCTGGAGGAGGACTTTTTTTGTCAGCTGTGGGGCTTGAACTCTGGGCCTGGGTGCTGTCCCTCAGCTCTTCAGCTCAAGGCGAGCGCTCTACTGCTTGAGCTACAATGCCACTTCCAGGTTTCTAGTGGTTTATTGGAGATGAGTCTCACAGACTTTCCTGCCCAGGCTGGTTTTGAACCATGATCCTCAGATCTCAGCTTCCTGAGTAGCTAGGATTACAGGCATGAGCCACCGGTGCCCTGCTAGGAGGACATTTTTATATTCAGCTAGAAAGACTGTCATTGTATTGGAAAACTAATATCCCTGGGTTCTTGAATGAATACAATATACATCCCTCTATGCCTTGATCAAAAATGCCTGCTTTTGTTAATTCACAAAATAACCTCTAGGGGGCAGCACGACCCACTGTTAAGAATCAGTGGTTTAGTGCTAAGGACAAGCACTAGGTTCAGCATCTGGATGAAGGATCCTCACAGGCTGAGAGGTGAAAGGATTATTTAGGACCCAGTAGAGGTCAGCACAGTTTAAG